AAAAAAAATTGTTCAATCACAATCTTTGGTATCCATACAGAGCATAAAATTGAGCTTTGTGATCCTTCTGAATTGAGTTTTAAGGAAATAGCTAGACTGTCCCAAGACAAAGAGTGCTGACAACACCCAATTTTGAAAATCTGGTGTCTGCACTTTTTATTGTTCATAGGATAGACAGTGCCTCAAATCCATTCAACAACAACCCTCAGTTCCAGTGGAATCATAACCAGGCCTAAATCCGTCCCACTACCGATACACGTGCCAGCACTGGGTACCTCCCTTTGGTCTCATTCGCTCACTTTGGTCTAATTCACCCTATTTTGCATAGAAGGTGAAAGGCACGAGATTGCAAAGGTAAGTTCTTTATTTAAACCCAAGTCAGGCCGGTATGACTGATACTACAGCAGACGCATAACAGTATGATTGACGCTACAGCAAACATATAAGGTTAGGACAGAGATGTAGATAAGATGCATTCAAAGTCAACTTTAGGCACATGCAAAGCAGGTGACCACCAAAAGCAGCCATGTCTGCCCCCTTACCAGCCCTATAGACAGAGGGGATAGAAACCACATTGTCCCTGCAACGAGTTCATGCCGTAGATGCCAACAAAAGGCAGCAGGAAGGGATGTAGAGAGGGAGTAGGATCCTCGTGTACCCAGAGGTGGAAGCCAGGGAACCACTCACTGAACCATTCCTCTGTACAATATAAAGGTAAAAGAGTTGTCTTGGTAAAAAGACACAGTATCGAGTCTCATCTACCCGGTAGATCAATCGCAGAGCTCACAGGCTTAGACGCTTGGGACTGCAGACACCAGACCCTAGAATAAGACCAGATTTGCTAAGGAGAAGAGAGAGGTTCACAAAATTCTCCTCAGAGAAGGAGAAGGGAGAGACAAGTTTCCACTCCCTTTATGCCTCATTGTTCCCACTTCTGATACCTTCCCTCAGTTTCCAGAAGATTTAGCTTGGCTGCTAACAAAGTTAGAACCAAAATAAGTCGCTCTGTTCATTATCCTAGGAGCAGCCATGCTGTTTTGCTTATACTGGGCTTAGCCTTCTGATGACTAGTACATTCCTGCCTCAGAAGTGTTTGCGTGACAAGCTTTTACACAACTCTCATACAGCTGGCATTATAATGCAATTTAAGTTGGAAGGTAAGCCTTCTGTGCCTCCTAAACAGCCTGCTCTTCCTTCTCCCTTCCCTCACTGATAGTTCAGCTTTCTGGTTTTCCTTCGCTTAAATACACTGAGCCAGCTTGGTACAGGTTGATAAAGTTAATTTCCTCTGAAATGACATTCCCAAGTTTCCCTTAAGCTACCTCCAAAGCCTACATTTCAAATGCAAATCACTCCTTGGAACTCAGGCATCTTCTCCTGTCCCTTCACAGACTTCCCTCCTCAAAATCCCAGTCTGAAGTTTCATGGCTTACTGTGTATTCATATGATAATTACCCGGGCTAAAAGTGTTAGTCTGCATCGAGCTCAATGGGCTTTTAAAGAGATAGGACTCATACACATCTTAAGATACAATTTACAATTATATTTTCTACTTAATGAATTCTGAACAAAATAGCTGGTTATAGTTAGCATTAAAAATCATTTTAAAAAATGAAAAAACATATAGTAAGTTTCAGTGATTCTTGTACCTACTGTACAATTCACACTACTATTTTACTTACCTTTAGGAAAAAAAAAAGGAATGGAATGGGGGAAAATCCAAAATTTCCCTTTTTTATAGACTAAAGCTAATAATAGAATGTATCTCGTCTATAACACAAATATGACAAGCAGCAGATTTTAAAGTACTTGGTTAACTGCATAATTCTTATTGTAGTCATTACAAACTGGAATGACAACAGTGAAAACTAGTGACCTGCACCAAACAGAAAAAATACAACTAAATTTCTCAGCCAACTTAGCTAAAGTCTATGCATAGTCTCAAAGCACAAGTAGTCTTGGTCCTGGACACAAACATCTAGAATTCTGCTTAAACAGAATATATTAAAATAAGCAAGTTACCTCAATGCAAGCTACTGTAAAACCCTAGTTTTGTATTTTATTTACAGTATGTCCTTTCAATCATAGCCTCAAAACACAGTCCTGTAATGATATAACCACAGAATTATTTGTCATGCAGATGAAAGTATACATGGGAAAAGAAGAAATCACAAGACTACTCTATTACACAGGCAATACAGTTTTATTACGTTCTTCCACCAATGTAGCAAAAACGTTTTACAACTCAATGAATAATCAAGGAAACTTAGTTGTCAACGGGAATTTCAGAATTATGTTCTAAATTTTAGACCAGGAGGGCTTGAGAGGGAGAAAACAAACCATATACACACTGTAATAATAGTCTCTATTATGAAGATTTAATGCCTTCTTTAAAAGCACTGAGATTATTGAGGCACGTTACTGCAGGTTATGTATCATCTCCTCTTTGGCAATGAGATGTGTGGTTTTATTAACTAGGGCCATCAGCGAGTTCAGCTTGTGAGACCAGTCATTTAGTATGTTGTTTGGGTCCTTTGGCCTCTGAAAATTGATAATTCCTGCCAGCCTGTCTACTTTAGCAAAGATGGTCTTATTAACTACTAGGTTGGACAGGAACTCCTCCGATTCCTGCAAAGACAAACAGCACTTAGTCAAGACATCAGCATTTGTAGCTACCAAAGCATCAAAATTCCTCCCAGACAGCATCACAGCAATCCTGAGATTTTTAGATAGAGATTTTTAGGCTAAAAGAGCACCAATAAATTTAAAGAAAGGATGTTACTCTGATGAATACTGAGATTTTTGCCACACAAATGCCCCTATACACCACCTCCCTTTTATAAGAGAAGGATAAGCAAGGCAACACTTACATCAACAGACAGATCCAGGAGCTGTGCCATTCTCTTCATTGTAATTCTGGTATAATATTTAGCCATTATTCTAATATTCTAGAATAAAAGTGTTCAGAGTAGAGAGTTATGTGCAAAATTATAACTGAAGCAGGCTGCAAAAATATAAAAGTTCATATTAAAGGTAGACTAGGAGCTATCATGCTCTAATGGCAATCCAGCATAAGGCATGTAAACCAGTAGTAAAATGTCCTGGTGAAACAGTTCTCCCTTGTAAAAGGTGCAATAGTCTGTGGGTACAAAGCTACTAGAGTAATAAAATCAAAAACTAACTATTAATTTCATACAAAACAGGATGTACAGTTTGTGCCCTATGGAAATCTGAGTATGCACAACTTGAGTA